AAGCGCTTTAAGGAGAGATCGAACACACAATTCCGTGTGAAAATGCAAGGAAAATTCTGCACTGAAAAACCACGATGTGCAATAAAAATGAAGTAGGAAATGAAGAAAGGTATTTAAATGGCAATATTTCCTTCTTATAACAGAATAATATTACGGTAAACGCGTTTTCTTCTTTTACTTCCGAGATCTTAAAATACAGTACCTCACGAAAGTGTTATATTGGAACACTTGTAGAAACTTTTACACGATTTACAATTACTTCTACACATTTCAGAATCCTCTTGCATAATTGAATCGATATTGGTAACGAAATTTTTTACGATACAAAGGTTATAAATTTTAGCGGTACTAGCATATTCTCTTGCGCAATAACTTAGAATGCTGTTGCAACACCCTTTCAAACTGATTAACTTTTTCAAAATTAGTTGAAAAATGCAATTACTTTCTTCTTGACGACTCTGACTAATTGCCATTTTTAAAAAATTGTTATTCTACGTCCCTTAGCAAACTAATTCTCCTAACTTCTTAAAACAACCCAAGTCGTTTCGTCTAATTTTAGAAAAGTTGTTCAATTCCAAGGAGTGTTGCGACAGTTTTGGAAGTTGCTGCATTTATTAAGAATATGTACCTATATCTTAAAAATGTATCTATCATTATTCTAGACTATTATAGACTAGAAAAATATATAATATTAACGTTTCACGTCGTACGAAATCATACTGTTACTTTTCTAGATTCGTGCAACGGCGAAACGCATCTCTTTTCCTTCTACTGAATACACAGTGACTTCCTCTTTCAGTTCCTGATTGTACTATTCATACGTGAATACCATTCATTACGAATTAATTACAAACATGCATACTAGATAAGTCCGACAGATGCATTCATGTACGTATTCGCGGGTAACAGATCTATCGAGATACTGAAATACTGATGCATGAAAAATTTCTCTCTGGATTGTGACAACGAAATAAATATTCGAGCAGATCGTAGCTATGAGACATCCTCTAACTTTATTCTAAATATTCGTGATAAATTAAAAAAATTCCAATTAAGTTTAACAATTACATGCGAGAATTAATTAAAATTGTAAACTCGTACAAATGGTGGCAATTAATAAACGCTAACTACGGGTACAATTAGTACCAGCTGCAAAATTATGCGTTCCAGGAAACAAAAAATGTAGCCTGTTCCTTAATTTAATCTGAAAATTAAGACACGGTGCTTTTTTCGCTCCTTTGATGTAAAATTCCTCAGATTGTTCGCAAAAGATACGATTGTGGGCAGCAGAATATTTGATAACTTGTATCAGATTACATTAAATCTGTTCTCTAGACAATTCTTATCGAACTCATTCTTTTGTGCGAAATTCTATTCTACCGACACGTTCAATAATTAGAGCCGCACTGCAACACATATTTTATCAACTAATCAGAACAGAGGATTATGAAATAAAACAAATACGCGTACATAATACGAAATCCTGGAAAATTCTATTAAAATATATTTCAAAAATTTCTTCGTTTGATATTACTTTTTAGATAAGCGTCGGGGAAGAATTTAAAGAATTACCTAAATTAAAAAATTATTAGGTTAAGGAAGAACCTTTTTTTAACTCTTCTATAATCTCATTGTTTGATGTTACGTTACTGTCACATATTAGAAAAAGTTAAAACTAATATTCTTCTTTTGTCGATAAAATTGTGCAATTTATATAAGACGAAATCAATTGACGAAGCGAGTTAGTGAAACGTACATCGACGCATTTACGTTTGTAAAAAGAGATTGATGAATAAAAACATTAACAGCTAGTTTACGTCACGAGTACAAGCATTAATCACATGTATCTGTTGTACTAAAATTTTCACATATATATGCGTACATTTTCTACGATTATTCACCGATACCTTTACCTTAATATGTAACAGCGACTTCCTGTAGAATATAACATAAAAGGTAAAAAGCTAATGATCAAACCTGTGTCACAAATTATGGTCCGATATCGTAATAACACTCTTATATCATTCATTATTTAAATAACATCGAGGCAATAACTTCGATATACATACATAACTCTGCTTTAAATATATATTATATATTAGTCTCTGAAATCAATAATATGTAACATGCTGCGCAATAAATTACTGTTTATGAATCTGTTTGACTATTTTTCATTTTTTGACAAATGCAAAAAATATAATACATTGATAAATCGTATAGAAAATTTACTATTATGATTATTATATTAATATTTATTAATTCGGTTACTATGGGGGATTATTCTGACCTCTTAATTTATTTGAAAAGACACGCAATTGTATCTTTCCTATTTTACTACCTTTAAGTGAAATCTAGGTATATTTGCCACCGCGTATTTTCAACTTCATAAAAAATTCGTTATAAGCAGCACAATTACCGTGGAAAATTTATATACGTCTGTGATCATATATGAGTTACACGCAAGATTTTACGTCTCAGCGGCGGAAATAACTTGTGCAAAGAACAGGAAAAACAATAAACAGGAAGGGTTCGCGCAGAAAATGCGCAAATCCATCCAGACTAAACAGGAAAATTACATCTTTACACAAAAATACTGGTTCGGTTAACCGGTTCAATGTTACTGGTTTAATTCGGATAAAACTTTGTCTGCCATTCTTGATATGTGATATATCTTCCTAATAATATTATCGAATAATGCAATTTATTATCAGATACAGCATACTTTAAAAATAAAAAATGTATAGGTAGTTCCATATAGAGATGATCTTAAAACCGTTTAATCTTTCTAATGATATTTTTCTATCGGCTACAATATTCAGAACTATAATTTGATCCCGTGGAACATTTATATGTCGGGTTACACTTTTTAGATAAGCGTCGGGGAAGAATTTAAAGAATTACCTAAATTAAAAAATTATTAGGTTAAGGAAGAACCTTTTTTTAACTCTTCTATAATCTCATTGTTTGATGTTACGTTACTGTCACATATTAGAAAAAGTTAAAACTAATATTCTTCTTTTGTCGATAAAATTGTGCAATTTATATAAGACGAAATCAATTGACGAAGCGAGTTAGTGAAACGTACATCGACGCATTTACGTTTGTAAAAAGAGATTGATGAATAAAAACATTAACAGCTAGTTTACGTCACGAGTACAAGCATTAATCACATGTATCTGTTGTACTAAAATTTTCACATATATATGCGTACATTTTCTACGATTATTCACCGATACCTTTACCTTAATATGTAACAGCGACTTCCTGTAGAATATAACATAAAAGGTAAAAAGCTAATGATCAAACCTGTGTCACAAATTATGGTCCGATATCGTAATAACACTCTTATATCATTCATTATTTAAATAACATCGAGGCAATAACTTCGATATACATACATAACTCTGCTTTAAATATATATTATATATTAGTCTCTGAAATCAATAATATGTAACATGCTGCGCAATAAATTACTGTTTATGAATCTGTTTGACTATTTTTCATTTTTTGACAAATGCAAAAAATATAATACATTGATAAATCGTATAGAAAATTTACTATTATGATTATTATATTAATATTTATTAATTCGGTTACTATGGGGGATTATTCTGACCTCTTAATTTATTTGAAAAGACACGCAATTGTATCTTTCCTATTTTACTACCTTTAAGTGAAATCTAGGTATATTTGCCACCGCGTATTTTCAACTTCATAAAAAATTCGTTATAAGCAGCACAATTACCGTGGAAAATTTATATACGTCTGTGATCATATATGAGTTACACGCAAGATTTTACGTCTCAGCGGCGGAAATAACTTGTGCAAAGAACAGGAAAAACAATAAACAGGAAGGGTTCGCGCAGAAAATGCGCAAATCCATCCAGACTAAACAGGAAAATTACATCTTTACACAAAAATACTGGTTCGGTTAACCGGTTCAATGTTACTGGTTTAATTCGGATAAAACTTTGTCTGCCATTCTTGATATGTGATATATCTTCCTAATAATATTATCGAATAATGCAATTTATTATCAGATACAGCATACTTTAAAAATAAAAAATGTATAGGTAGTTCCATATAGAGATGATCTTAAAACCGTTTAATCTTTCTAATGATATTTTTCTATCGGCTACAATATTCAGAACTATAATTTGATCCCGTGGAACATTTATATGTCGGGTTACGGTTGGAATTTTGGGCGTTTGATGAACCTTCGCTCAAATTTACCATCGCTGTTTTAGCTGATATTTATTGGTACAAATGTGGTCACTACAAGAGGCTATAAGTAATAGCGGCGATCGGATGGTCGAGATGTTGATGACAACGAATTCAGATTCGATAACGAATCCACGGTCCACGGGATGACGAATGCGATGTGATACACGTATGACTCCACGTACAAGTAAAACTTAGACTTAAAAAGACTGCATGAACTGACCCGCAGTCCAAGTGGAACTGCCCTTATATATTCTTCTCCCTACCTCTCTTTGTTTTTTAAGGAGAGCTATATAATCATTCCATACCTCTGTCAGGTACACGTCCCTTCCGTGACCGTGGCTACGTTCAGTGACTCGTTATGTTACTTCAAGCCCAAGCCCATCGTCATAAAATCGGATTAGAACATTAAAACTTAGAACATTAAAATTTCTTAGTTTTATTACTTAAGTGTAGCTATAGTAAAAGTCTGGACTAGGCTATTGGAGTTTTTCCCAACATTCCAAAAGGGAAGCCTCGATGTCCTTTCATGTCCGACATATATATTCGGAAATTAATCGTTCAAATATTTACGTTCGTTTGCTGAATTATTGCCTGCAATTATATAAGGAATAATAGAAAATATGTTATTTCGATAACCAGCAATATCAAAAATCTATAATTTTTTTTAATACATTGCGTGTTATCAGGATATTGTAGGAATGTGATATACATAACACAGATCATTAATAAAAGAAGGAAATTTTAAGAAATATATTAGATAATAAAAACACGTTTACTAAAAAAAAAAAGAAGATCGTTTCTTTATTAAGTCTATCATATTGAGAATTACGGTTTCAACAGCAAATGTCAGTATATAGTTGGTTCATCATCGTTGCGGCAAATTGGCTTGCGTATTACCCTGTCTACACTTAACATGCCGCTGAAAAACTGCGGCGTTACGTCCTGTCCTATTCTTTGATTACGTACTTCCAGATGATCGTTTCCCGACATGCTACTAATTTCACTCCTAAGATTCGATAAAAATGTATTATTACTATTGCTCGTCGAGTATAAAATAAGAAAGAAGAGACTCTATTCAGACGATAGATTTCAAAAATTTTCCAAAGATTTTAATTCCTTTTAATAAAAATTCCTTAGAATTCCTTTTAATAAAAATATAAAAAAATATAGAAGAACATAGAAGTACATATTTAACTCGTTAAGAAATTCTATGATATAAATCCAGTTCGTTTACTGAAAATATTTTCAGGACAAATCCGGTTCGTTTACTGAAAAAATTTTCACTGATGTTTATTTTTACTCGTTTGCCTTCTTGCTTAACTTTTGCAATTTTAACTACAACTCCAATTTTTATAGCATAGTGTACAAGTTTGACCTGTGTCACGAATCAATAGATAAACAGATATTATAATCGTATTTCATTTTATGAGGAGATCGATATGAACTGTTCAATGTATAGAATGATTAATTACGAATACACGTTGAAAACTTGAATGTTCGCCAATTTGAATTTCTCAGCTGAGAAATGTCCCGTTTAATGAATAATGGGAGAAACGTGAAGCTATATCCTCCAAGAATTTCAATGGAACGGAAAGCAGAAATGTCCCGAAGCTATCGCATACGCGAAATTTATAGTTAACCTTATAAATCGTACAATAAATTTCGCATGACTGCAATGGAGGATATAGGGAGGTTACGCATAGGTGTCTATGTATCTCTTCCTGTATCGGTTTTATCGTACATGCATATCTAACAATAAAGCATGTTTTACGGTTTATTTGTCGCTCATATTGCCATAAATATTAGAAAATTTGCGCTCACATTATTTCATTACTGTTTTACGCTTTGATTGAGAAATCGATAAATTCAAAAATAAAGAAAAATCAATAACCGATATTTATTTAATTATTACAAATAATTTAATATTTATTATTCCTACTTTTAACTTTCAAAATTACATGTTCCAGTGTAATTAAATTGTCCATCCTTGCAGCTCTGTCATTCTTTAAAAATTTCTCAGCTTTCGCGTATTATAGAACTTTGTCAAATAAAATTATTCACGAAGTATCTCGGCAAGAAGATACAAAATTACATTTCTCATTGAAATTACCGATTTTGAAAGCTACGCTAATTTAAACATTTTCTATTCGTTTTCATCATAAACTTTGTATAAACCCATTTTATTCTAAACTTTATTATAAGCTATTTCTCGTAAAAATATATTTTCATAAGAAGCATTAGACTGTTATATTTTAATGGTTTCTATACACGCCACGTCTTGTAGGCTTCTTAAATCAGTAATTCCGTTAAATTACTCAGAAACGCTGGTTTTATCCTACTTAACTCTGCAACATCTGTGGTCAGCATCTATAAACCAAATAGGAAATCTCTGAAAGCTAAGAAAAGGATCTTCCAACGCAAAGCGCCTGAAACGTGGGATTTACCAACGAATTAATTACGACGACGATATTCCACAGCGAGAAACGTTCGTCATCGCGTAATACGATAGCGTGGGCATTTCCATAAGCGAGATTAGCGTTCGTGGACGACGATTGAACAGACTGGCCGGAAGGAAAGACGTTCGTCGTGGTTTTGTCTCGACTTTACGACGCGGTGCGTTGCGTGCGGATACGTGGAAGACCCGTAGGACGAGCACTTTTACTTTCCAAAGCGATAAGTAAAACCGTGCGTGACGCCCGTCACATACGAACATCTTCGCACACCACGGAAAACAGAATCGGATGAACGCCTACGAACTACGAAACGAACGAACAACGTGGGTTCTCACTAAAAAACCCCTCGATGCGCATGCACGCACGCCCACCCACCTAATCATCGACGTATCGTGTGCTTACCTACACCATCTTATAGCACGTACATATTAAGAAAATCGGAATAGAAGCTGTTTAATAAGCCCGAAAAAAAGACGTGTCAAAAAAGTGAACGTGAACGTGACTAAGAATAGCGTTCACACCTTATACGATTCGTACAATTATATATCGACTCGAGGCAGACCGCATTCTCAAAGTTTTATGAATCGAGAGTCATATTTTCGAGGAAGATAATTTTTTGCAACTCGCTAAAAGATCGTACGAATTGTAATTGCTTTCGAGGGTTGATTAAGAAGTACTAAATTGATATAGTTCGATATACTTCGATATAAGAGAAAAGTAGCATAGTAATTCTCATGTTATCCGATGAGAATCGAATTCCTGACGAACGTATAAACTACCCTCGTATTTTAACATTTAACACGACACATCTGCAATCAACTCGCGACTCACGGTGTGAAATACTCGAATTTCCACGATTTCATAGAATTATGGAATTTAGACGAACAGAATAATAGGAACCAAAAAGATTCTGGATACTACTTTTTCGTAAGTACAACGTGAATTTGATAGAATTCAACGATGTAAATTAATTAAAGGAAATTTCTGTTCTTAGTAACCTAGAATCGAATTTTTCAATGACCGCGTACTTGCTTACTTAGCAACGTTCTATTGACCTAATTGAAATATGTACGTAATATGCAACGCAGTGATTAAAAAATAAGGTAATATATTGGAATAACGAATTATGTATTTGATTGGTATCAAAGGTATAAATTGTTAAACCTTCCTATTCCGCTGATGCCGCTATGTCGTATGCGAATTCTCATTTAATTTTATTTTTATCGCTATGAAATGGAAGAAGCCAAGAAAGTTACCGTATAAATAAAAATTCATAGACATTTAGAGTTTTTCTCTTTTCGAAATGTAACTTTTGAATTTCAAAAATCTCCCCTGCAAAAGAATTTCTGGAATTTCTGGCTAATCGTACCTAGAACTTCCGAGAATGCATGAGATTAACCTCCTCGATGACCGTATGGCTACATATTTAGAATTCTAAAGTAGAATGTTACTTTCGTCTCGGAAACTAATCATAGAATTGCGAATAAGTTTTATTCCATTTGTAAGCCGTTCTTAGATATTTCTAAATGTCGAAATATTTGTACGAATTACTCGTTTATCATGAAACAGATAAAAATATCCTAAATAAATGATGAAAGGGTGAATCAACCGTTTTGCTGATGACCTCTCCCGAGATTGGAAAATATATTAACATATATTTATACGCGTCTTTGTATAAAATATGAGATGTATTTAATCAATGAATGAATAAAAGAATTGCACGCTACACTTCGTTATTAACGTACGATCCTCACATCTATTACATATACATACGTAATATAAAATTACACAGCAGTGTCTCCCATAGACAACGCTAACATAATATACCTTGATTTCTAAAAAAAAAAAATGAACATAACTCATCGTGGTAACATATAGCCCCTATCAATTTGCAACGTATAAATTATAGTAGCATTAAATTACTGCATCACTCCCTTAATCGACTGAAGAATATCCACTTGATGAAGAATAAATTTTTTAATTATCCGATAAATTGAATAATAAATACTTCTATGCAATACAATACGCTAATTTATACCAGATCATAAATATAATTATAAGTCTACAATAAACAAGAATTTTAATCTATACATACAAGCTATAAATATAGACTAAAATTTTCTGCAGTAAATGCAACATCGATGCGCTGATAATTAGCCATTTCTCGAAGCTTACGTAAACTTGACATAATTAGAAATAAAATGCTCCTTTATTCTCAGTTAACGATTGATCATAAATCAAACACACGTGTACGCTTCATGGCGTACTACGAAACACGCGATTAAAGTTTGTAAGACACACCGTACGTGATAATGCGACGAGAAAATTCTAGTAGCGAAGCAACGAATCACGCAACTCGAGAATGTTAATTTCGTATACCAATTCGTCTAACTACATCTGTTAATCTTTAGCGATCTCATCTTAAAAAGTCAGATTCATCGCCTCAAGGGTTTATGACCAATAATTAATTCGATAACACCAAATGACAAACATTTCACGTTAATGAACTTCAACTTCGTTGATAGTAACACAGTCTTGTAACACGTTCACTGTATACGTCTTGAATCTGAGTCGGTGCTACAAATATGGTGAATTTAATAGAATTCCATATTGTAATCGAATTAATTTTCTGTGATTTATAACGTTGGCACACAGAAGTATAAAAACGTAACTATTAATCGATTAAGCTTGTTTTCTTGATATATGTTTCCCATTTCCTGGCAATCTGATGCTGCTGCTATTGTTTTCTTTAGATATAAAAAGAAACAATAAAAACTTTTCACAAATCACCTTGCAATTACCGGCCCTTTTTAACTTTTTCAAATGTCCTACTTTTTGTTTTATAAATCTATTTAAATTTTTGAAAAACCCATTAAATGATTCTTTCGCGAATAGAACCTTTCACAAAAACCAAAGCATTTCTCGACATATCTTCACTGCACACACGCATCGTGATACAGTTTAAATTCACACGGAATAATTATTCTAAATTTCATTAAAGTCACCCATATCTTCCGCTCGCCTAAACCAACATTAAACAACTACAACGAACAGCCACGAAGATTTTAAAAGCAGGCGGATAGTACGGAACAGAACATTGAAATAACACTATTTTCTAAGTCATGTGAAATCTGGTAATCATCGATCAACTGTTTCCAACATTGGTTACATTTTCACGTATTACAACCTAATAACACAGACATTAATGAAAACCAGATCGCCAATGAACGCGTTAACCTGCTGCTTAATGACTTCCTAGACCATCAGTGTATCTTGCCAATTCATCATCTCGCTATAACCACAGTTCCATCCAGATACTTGCCATCACGATTCGGCGCAGAACCCCTGGTCGCGAGTTCCGCATTGGTTGCAGTCGGCGAAATTCTTAACTAAAATACGCGAGCCAGGATCACGAGACAGCGGTTAGCCGTTCGTTCTTCCTTAATCGAAAATTTTGCAAAGCTTATCGGCACGCCACAGTCGCCCGTACACGACTATATAGCTACCCTGGTTCTCTATAACCGTACCACACAATCGACCGACCAACGAATCC